GCCTCTCTTTGCTTCTGGGAGCCCTGGTGCTGTCTGTGTGAGGTTTGCTTGTCCAGGTGAGATGAGAGCCAGGAGCAAATGGCAACAGAAGTGTGGCCCTCCAGCTCCACCTCAGTTCCTTGTCTACTAGGCTAAAGGACTGGCCTCGGGCGGCCAGCATATCTGTTCACACCTTCAGCATCCGGAAGCAACTCTAGCCTGATCCTGTGTCCTCAGGCCAGATGCTCCATGGCCCACACTCTGTGCGGGCGCCTGATCCACAGTGGCCACTTCAGGATTTCCCCGGGGCTGGAGCAGGAAGCTGCGGGAGAAAAGCAAGACTTAGGAGCCCAGGTCCATGCCTGGTGCAGCCGAAGGCACTTGATACCTGGTCCTGCCGCTGCCTTGCCTGGAGCAGAGCCTGGACAAGGCGCACGTGGGACCCCAGCAAAGGACGCGCAGACTCTGGGAGTGGGGATGGGGATTGGAGGGGACTAGACGAGGGAAGGAGCCCTGGTGGCACAGTGTTTAAGCGCTGGATTGCTATCGGCGGGACAAAGATGTGGCAGTCTGCTTCTGTGAAAATTACAGCCTTGGAAACCCTATGGGGTAGTTCCACTCTGTCCTATAGGGTCGCTATGAGTTGGAATTCACTCAACCACAACAGGTAAGTAAGGCAAGTGGGATAGGATCGGTAAGGGAGAGATGTCTTTGTTTTGCTTGCCTCTGAGCTTGGTTTTTGGTTGTTTTTACAGAAAAGAGAAGCAAGTTGCTGGGATGACATTTGAGCAGAGCACCCCGGGCTATTGCACCAGTCTGGGGATGTGGGAGCAGCAGCGGCACGCCCAGTGCCTTGCTGTCCTGCTGCGAGACCAGAGCTTCCAGCTCACTCTCTTCCACTGAGCAGAGCTGAGTCTCCTATCTAGGAGCAGGCATCCCAGTCCCAGTGTCTCCGATGCTCCTTCAAGGGTCCCGGTCAGAAACGCTAGGCCCCAGAAGAGGGGTCTTGGCAGCAATCTCCAGTAATGGGAGCTCTGAAGCCAGTCCTGGCTTGGTCACAAGCAGGGTGACTTTGGATGAGTTACCTGGGCAAGCCCAGAACTTGTCCTGGAAATTGAGACCATATGTAAAGCCTAGCACAGTCCTAGACTCATTGTCCGTTAAGAAATGGGCACCATGGTTCCTGGAAGGAATGCCTCCACATATGGATCTAGAGGGTCCTAACAATTGCACCCTGGGTCTGGGGGTTGCCAGCCAGCAGAGGCCAGGCTTGGGGGAATCCGGGCGGCAGGGCTTCCCACCCCGTCCACACTGTAAAACTGCACTGAAATCTGGAGAGACCCACCATCGCCCCTGACTTCCAGGACCACTGCTCCTCTGGCCTCTTCCTGTCTGCCTTGCTTCCATTTCTTCTGCATTCTCTCTGTCCTCCTCTACTACTCCCCACCCCTGCCAAATTACCCGGATATTTGATAGAGGCTGTTTAGGTCAACAAACTTTTAAGGAATGCATAATAATAATAACAAGGCAACTGAAGTTCAGAGAGGTTGTTTAAGGCCACTAGACTGGGACTGGGCAAGAATCCTAGGAGTCAGTTTGAGGGATCTGGAGAGTACGGATAAATACATATGGTGCTTGTGTTTCGGGGGTCAGAGCATTAATCAGTCAGCTGGTATTTTCTGAGTACACAGTGTTTGCCCAACTCAGAACTAGCTGCTAGGGGAGAACAGGGAAGATTAAAAAAAGATAGAAGATGAGGTTCCCTACCCCCAGAAAGACTAGCATTCAGTCCCAATTGGAGAAGCTGAGATCTTTTTTTTTTTTTTCTTTACTGTACTTCAGGTGAAGGCTTACAGAACAAATAGTTTCTCATGAAACAGTAGTACACGTATTGTTTTATGACATTGGTTAACAACCCCACACCATGTCAACCCTCTAACTTCTCAACCTTTTTTTTTTTTTGTTGAAAATACACATAGGCAAAGGTCCACCATTTCAAAAATTACTACATGCACAGTTCAGTGACATTGACTACGCTCTTCCAATTGTGCTGCTATTCTCACTTAAGATGAAGGCTTACAGAACAAAATAGTTTCTCATTTAACAGTTACTACACATGTTGCCCTATGACAATGGTTAACAATCGCACAACACATCAACAAATATCCTTACTCAACCTTGGGTTCCCTATCACCAGAAGCTGAGATCATTTTATTTATTATTTTGAAACCTTTACATCATCCTTAGAGGAACTCATTAAAAAAAAAAAAAAAAAACTCCCCAATTCCATTTCCCATATGATGTTAGTTCTTGTACTTTCTCCCAATTTTTATCAATAGGTATACACAGTTTTTATTTTTTAACATGGTAGATGCAACATTTTTACAAATGTTGAAAACACATTTTCCTGTCTCCCCATAGTCTTCCTGGTTATTAGTTTCATGCTGCATTCTATTCCCTCATATGACCGTACCATATTTAGCCACTTTTCTGTTATTGGTTGATTCCAGTTTTGTTTTGTTTTGTTTTTGCCATTATAAATAATGCTGCTATACATATCTTTGTACATACAGCTTTTTTTCTCCTTTTAAATGATATCATTGGAATCAGTGCCCAGAATGGATGGACTGTTTCATAGCTCCTGCTCTGAAGAGCCAGACTGCAACTGAGAACATTTAACAATGAAGCAACTGAGGACACAGATGTCCTCACACACACCTCACTAAGGCACTAATGCCCTATGTCTGTATTAGAATGTTGCACAGAATGAACATGTATCGGCACCTGCTGTGGAGCCCCTGGGTGGCACAAAGCACTCAGCTACTAGCTGAAAGGTTGGCAGTTGGAGCCTACCCAGATGTGCCTCAGAAGACAGTCCTGGCAATTTGCTTCTGAAAAGTCACAGCCTTGAAAACCCTATGGAGCAGTTCTACTCTGCATACATGGAGTCGCCGTGAATCTGAATGAACTCTATGGCAACTAACATCAACAACTATGTATCAGGTCCATGTGAGACCCAGGACACCTGGGGATGAATGACAGGCAGTCCCCGCCCTTAAGGAGCACAGAGTTGTGGCTTTTCAACATTTTTCTCCTAGAAGGACACATAATACTCAAAACTACTCTGCATCTAAGGGCAGAATCAAAATTTGGTGATTGTCCTTAAAATTTGGCAGGAACTTGAAACACTAGCATGTTTTCTAATCAACAGAATGTTAATCAAAGAGAATGCAATTTTGGTGTTGACGGTTGGTAACTGGTTGTAACTCTATACCTTTTTTCTCAGATTAAAGAAATAATATGTCAACCAAGAAAGCAAACCAGTTGCCATTGAATCAATTCCGACTCACAGTGATCCCACGTATTGCACGGTAGAACTGCTCCATAGGGTTTTCATGGCTGTGACCTTTCAGAAGATTTCCAGGCCTATCTTTCGAGGCACCTCTGGGTGGGTATGAACTAGCAAAGGGATTCCTATAGATTGTGTCCAAACCCCATGCCGTTGAGTCGATTCCGACTCATAGCAACTCTATAGGACAGAGTAGAACTGCCCCATACGGTTCCAAGACCGTCTGCCACATCTTCGTTCCGTGGAGTGGCCAGTGGGTTTAAACAGCCAACCTTTTAGTTAGCAGCCCAGGGCTTAACCACTGCAGCATCCGGGCTCCTTGACACGGTTAAGTCAGGTAGTGATATATACAACGGAGAAAAATAAAGCAGGGAAAGCTGAGGGCATTGTGTGTCCTCAAGTGGACTCCAACTCATAGCAACCCTATGTGAGAGTAGAATTGCCCCATAGGGTTTCCCACACTGTAATCTTAAAGGGAGTAGATAGCCAGCTCTTTTCTCCTGTGGAGCCATTTGTGAGTTGGTAAACTCCCCCTCCCCCTTTCCGTTAGCAGTCAAGTGCTTAACCATTGCGTCATCAGGGCTCCCTTCTAGACAGCAAGTTTTAAATAGGGTGCTTAGAGAAGGCCTCACTGAGAAGAGAACAGGAACAAAGAGATAACCCTGGGGGCGTCTGAGAGGAGGGTATTCCAGACAGATGGAGAATGCAAGACCCTGAACGGGTTCAAGGAGGCCAGTGTGGTTGGAGTGAAGGAGCCAGTGGTAGCAGGAGGAGGTGACGTCAGAGAGGGAGTTGGGACCATTCTGTGGATAACTCTATGGGAGTTTTAAGGATTGCGGCTTTTACTTCCAGGAAGTTGGGGAGCCAGAAAAATGCACTCTAGGGGGAGGAGAGCAGGGAGCCCAGATAGAGGGCTAGTGCCAGGCTGGGAACCCAGGTCCTCTGCCTCGGCCCAGCGCCCTTTCCATGCACTTAACCCTTGGCCTGCCCCAGACTTGAGGTTTAAATTGTCCATGAACTGTTGGGAAGGTGGGAACCTAGAGCAACTCTAGCCTGGAGGAAAGGTTTCCAGCAAGATCAGGAAGTCCTATAAAATCGTGCTATGACTTTATTAGCATTAGAAAAGTTCCTGTGTGGAGCTGTCTATCCAGGGAGCTGGGGCAGTGATCCGAACACACCACTGAGGAGATGTGTGGCCTCAGGCAAGTCTTCTAACCTCAGGCAGACTCAGTTACTTCATCTGCAAGATGTGGCTAAAGGCCCTTACTGCCTCATAGCATCCAATGAGGTCATACGAAAACTCCTTTTAAACATCATTTACAAAAAGCTAGTAGAAAAGTGGAGCTGACTTCAGAGTGTTGACTTTGCACAACATTTTTAAACTCTTAAAAAGGACTGAATACCTATTTATCTCCTCTGCGATGTGTCGGACAGAACTCGCCCTCTCACCTAGCGCCAGCAGGGGGGCTGGGAGCGGCGCGGCTGGGTAGGGACAGGAGGGAGGTAGTGCTGGGGTCCCACGCGGAGCCGGAATTCTCTCCCTCCGACTCCCGGCCGAGTCCTCAGCCGGCGGGCGGGGCGGGGAGCGGCTGCGGGGTGCAGACTGGGGACAGGCTCTGCGCGCGGCAGCGACGCGGCCTGGGCGGAGTCGCCCCCGCCCTCGCTCCTCCCGCCGCGGCCCCAGGCTCCCAGCCCCGCGCCGCGCGCTCTTTCTCCAACACCCCAGTCCTACCCCGTCTGTCTCGCCTGCCGCTGCGCCATGACCACCCAGCAGATAGTCCTCCAGGGCCCGGGACCATGGGGCTTCCGCCTTGTCGGGGGCAAGGACTTTGAGCAGCCGCTCGCCATTTCCCGGGTAAGGGCAGTCTGGGACGCGCGCGAGAGCGGGGCGCTCCCGGGCAGGAGGGCGGCGCGCCCCAGAGTCCTAGGAAGCCTGGGTCTCCGCGGGCGCTGTCGGGGACGGCGGCTGTGGGCGCCGGGGACGGATCCGGGACCGAGCGGCGCGTCCAGGTGTGGCGGGTGCACCGTGCGCTGAGCGCTCTCCGCGCGTCTTGGGACGGCCTCTCCCGCTGCCGCTTCCCAGGAGCTGCGTTCTTGAGCGAGCCGGCGGGGCCCGGCGCGCACGTGCGGGGTCCGCTAGCAAGAAGAGGGCAGTTTTCGTTCCTGCTCCCTGGAAGCGCGGCCCGAGTGTGGACCCGCTTTGTGAACCCGCGAGGGCATGAGGGTCCCCGCAGGTCGCTCACTCTAGGAGATGGGACTTCCCGGTTCTTTTCAAGACTTAGGGTGGCATAAAGCGATTTGGAAGCAGCAGGAAAGACCTGGAAAGTGAGGTGGAATGGGTGGGAAGTTTACAGTGTGGCAGGTGGGGTTAACAAAACAACGACCGAAACAACTGGTTTTCCACTCGTGGGACTTGACCCATAGCCCGGTCTGCCTTTCGGAGGGAAGCAGAGTATTGGAAACAATTTCCAGATAACCTCGGTCATTCTTCTTTCTTGCGGGTGGTAGACATTCCGTCTTTCCACTAGCCATTCCCGGATTATCACCCTACACCCGTTTTTCCCCAGGGGATGAATAAGTTGGTACTGGCGTGGGGTGGGGTGGGGTGGGGATCCCACACTGTGTGTATATGGGTGTGTGCTTGAAAACTTAAGGGGCCTCATGTGTTTAGAACGGCCCAGGTTCGATTTGGGACCACGAGACCCATCACCCCCAAATAGAGTGGAATCCCCAGGGAGACCCAGACTCAGAGATGGAAATGTGTAGGCCCAGGCTTTGGCCGTCTGTCGTTAGGTGCTTTCAAGATGATTTCCACTCACAGTGACCCCATATGACTGTGATCACAGAGTAGAACTGCCTCATAGGGTTTTCTAGTCTGTAATCTTTACGGGAGCAGATCGCCAGGTCTTTCTCTCGAGGAGCAGCTGGGTAGGTGGGTTCAAACCAACAACCTTTTGTTACCGAGCTCTCAACTGATGGCCATCTAGTGTGGTCCAAACACAAGCTGATGTCCCACTGCCAGTTGCCACATTCAGTGCCTGTACCGGGAAGACATCAATGTTTCTTGACCGAATTAAGAAAGGGAGCAGAAGCCCACCCGTTGGTGGCCACGCCCTGCCCATATTTGGGCCCATCTGACTCAGAAAGGAAACTCAAACTTGCTCCCCCCACCCCTAATCTTCTAAATACCCCTCTTCCTTGAGCAGGCTGTAGGTCATTTTAACTGAAGTCCCTGCCTCCAGCAGCTGCAGGAGTACGGAAGGAGGTGCAGGAGGAGAGAAGGCCTTCTCTTGGCTTCACTGCCAGCCCCAATCCTACCCACCCTTCTTTCCAGGTGGGCCTGGCCATGTCAGGAGGTCTCCTCTATTTCACTCCTAAAAGGAGCAGGTACCCCAGTTCTTGGCCCTGTCCTTCACCTGCACATCTTGTCCTACAGGACTTCTTTGATTATTCTCACAAGTACACGCAGTCTTCCCAGCCATCAGCTGAATTCCTCAATCGCAGGAACTGTGCCTTCCCCAGATCTAGACCCCCACCCCCAAGCCTGGCACAGAGTGGAACCTGGCCGTGTGGGTAAATCCTTGTGGCTTATTAATAAATGCCTGCCCCGGGAAAGCATTGCCTCTGCTCATTTAGACTGGCTTACCTCATAGTCCATTTGCCCCTGCTCTTTGTGTCTATAATTAACCTGTCAGCCCTCTCCACTTTAGAGATTTATATAGGAGGTGAAACCTTTTTTGTAGTAGTGGAGGATGCATGGGCAATCTATTAAAAGGGCAGTTACCACCTGCCGTTTTAGCTGCTTTTAAAAATCTTAATGCAAATGGCACTGTGCAGGAATGATGGTATGGTGTGGAACACCAGGCTGTGAATGCATTAGCTGGTACCTTCATATATTCATTCATTCATCAGCACATGTTTAATGAGCAGATACCATGTGCTACTGTGCAAAGCCTTAAAAACCAAAACAAACCAGTTGCTGTTGAGTGGATTCTGATTCTTGGTGGCCCCATATGTATCAGAGTAAACTGTGCTCCATAGGGTTTTCACAACTGTGACCCTTCAGAACCAGATCGCCAGGCCTTTCTTACGAGGTTCCCCTGGTTGGGTTTGAAGTGCCAATGTTTAGGTTAGCAGCCGAGCTCTTCCCACCCAGAGGCCTTATACAAAGCCTTAGGGACCCAGAAATGAGAGGACATAGCTCCATTCTTAAGATGTTCATGGTCTGGTGAGGGAAGCTAATCTCTTTTTTTGGGAGGAGGGGGAGAGCTAATCTTTACAACGACCCTTGGCAAGTACTTTAATGGAAGAGTGGAAATGATTCAGAGGAGAGGACGTCCTCATGCTGGTAGGAATTTACTTTTCTCATTATCTCATTGCTCCCATGTGCCAAAAATGTGGGCCTGCTCACCTTCTGGGAATGGGAAAGTCCTTTCCTTGAAGGGGCCCCCCGGGGTGGGGGGTCTGAGATCTGGTGCTGGTTTGGTTTCTGCATCTTACTTGCGCTGTACCCAGGGTGAGCCTTCTACTCCTGAGGCTAAGCTTCCTTATGTCTGCAATGAGGATGACACCAGCCCTGGGCTGTGAGTTAGGGTATGCGGGAGTGCTCTGTAAACAGTGGACATTATTGAGGAGGTGTGAGCAGTGACAGAGTTATTCACATCTTCTGGGTGGGAGGTGTACTACATTTATTTTCCTGGGCAGATCAAGTTTGCTTGTATGGTTTTGTATGTGGAGACTTTGAGTCTCCACACCAAAACAAACCATAAAATTAGGTTGAGAGAGGAGCGCCTTTTATTTAAATAACTGTGTTTACTTTCTCTTGCATGAATTATTCTGGTGTTGGCTGAAGTCTTGTGTTAAACTGCTAAAGCTTCTGAATATAACTCTCTGATCTTGTGTACTTGAATTTTTTTCCTTTTTCTTTTTTAACTTATTTTTTTTTATTGTGAAATAAACACTCATAAAAAGGTCATCAAACATAAATGCATAGGAAATGATTATAAAGCAAACACCTGTATAATCGCCACCTGGGTCAAGAAATAGAACATTGCAGCACCTTAGAAGCTCGCTAAACTTAACCACTATCCTTGACTTACGATAATCGCCTCCTTGCTTTTCTTTATAGTTTTATCACCTAAATATGATCCTGAACACTATACGTTAGTTTTGCTTGTTTCTGAAGAGAATCATGTTGTTCACTGCCATCAAGTCAGCCCCCAGCTCATGGAGGCCACATGTACAACGGAATGAAATGCTGCCTGACATTGCACCACCCGGTGATCTGTTGTGGATCAGACCACTATGCTCCACAGGGTTTTCATTGGCTAATTTTCAGAAGCAGATGACCAGGCTTTTCTTCTCAGTGTGTCTTAGTCTGGAAGCGCCATTGAAACCTGTTAAGCATCATAGCAACGCACAAGCCTCTACTGACAAATGAGTGGTGGCTGCATATGAGGTGAACTGGCCAGCAGTGGAACCTGGGTCTCCCACGTGGAAGGGGAGAATTCTACCACTGCACCACCATTGCACCCGAACAAAATCATACAGAACATGTTTTCTTATGAATAGCTTCTTTCGCTCCTCAGTGTTGTCCTCTTTGTTATTGTGACAAACTTAACATTTCAGTCCAGATTTTCACGTTTAAATGGACATAAGCTAGTTTTCTTCTTTTCCCAGTTTCTCATTTAAGGCCTCGACCCTGAACTCCCTGGTAATCCAGACACATATTTGCCAGTGAGCCCTGCTCCAAATCTACAGTTGTCCATCTCCTTGAGCTTTATTTTATTTTTCTCATGTTGATTTCTTACTTCCTCTAGTTGCTTTCAAGGGAAGCCTTCAGAGAACCCATTCCACACCCAAGCCAAAATTGCAGCTCAGTCTATGTTGACTGTTTTTCTCTCCCAGCAACTGACAAAAGACAGGAAGGGGTGGGGCCAGAGATAAGGGGATGCCCTAAGTTGGAGGAGCTGCCCACTTGAGTCCGGGAGGAGCCTTTCCTAAGAGCCACTTGATTTTATGGGAACTGCTGTGCGCTTTTACTCAAGTATCACCAAAACCAAACCTGTTGCTGTTGAATTGATTCCAACTTATATAACCTTTCAGTTAGTAGCTGAGTGCTTAACCAGTTACACCACCCAGGAACTCCCAAGTATCGCAACCGAAACCAAACCCAGTGCTGTCGAGTTATCGACCCTATAGCGTTTCCAAGGCTGTAAATCTCTACTGAAGCCAACTGCCACATCTTTCTCCCGCAGAGCTGCTGGTGGTTTCAAACTACCAACCTTTTGGTTATCAGTTGATCGCTTTAATCACTGCGCTACCAGAGCCCCTTTAAGTATCACAAGAGGTACTTAATAATGGATACTCTGTAGCAAGAGGGTCGTTTCTGATTTTTAAGTGTTATTTCCAGAGGACATTACATCATGTCCTAAAGGTTGAAAGAACAGGGAGGGCTTGACTGTCAGATTGTGAAAAGCAAGACATGTCCAAAATGAGTCATTATGCATTAATAGCCCTTGCCCTGCACTCCCTCATTCTGTGAAATTGATTACCTGGGAAATACTAGCTGCTTCAGCTGATCACAGCTGACCTGAAGGGAAAGGAGGAAGAGGATGAATCAAAGGCAATCACACATAAGTGAATGCCTGAGCCCAGGGGCAATGAAATTCGCCAAGCCATGTTATGACCCTCTGACCAGATACCCTCTGCCCTACCCAGCCTCCTGGATAAAGCTTGCTGGTTTATCTTTAGGAGGGGAGAGGGGAGAAGAATGGCTTCAAGATACTGCAGTCTGGCAGGTGAGTGAGATGAGATTATCATCTAACCACTGAGCTCACACTCTCCAGGCTGATC